GTCCCAGCGGCCGCCTCAGCCGCCGGCGAGCGTGAAGGTGGGCGACCCCGGAGCCCGCAGGGAGCGCTCCGACCACACGCCCTGCACAGCCCACTCCTGGCCCGCAGCACCGCACCGTCTGGGGCCGGTCCTGGCCCCTGTCCCGCCGAGAAGGAACGCGCCGTGGCGAGGAGGTGGCCTGCTCGGGCCAGCCCTGCCCACGCGAGTCCCTCTGATCGCAGGTCTTGTCTGTCCTCCTTGGGGCACTCGGTTGCTGCAGCTAATGGGTTTCAGAGGAGCTTGGAGCTCCCCAAGCGTGAGGCCCTGCTGGCAGGGGCGGTGTCCTTCGCCACTGGGCTCCGCTCTGGACGAGTTTAGCCTGGAAGGTGAACTCCTCAATAGTAATCTCCAGGCTTAGTTTGTGGTTTTTTACACTTCATTACAGACTCTTGCCAGCGCAGCAGTTTCAGCAACAACAGCAATCTTGGCAGTGTCGATGGAAACGCAAGAGAAGATGCAGCCATATTTAAGTGAAGCTTAAGCCTGGTTCCAGCATGTGAGGTGTCTGTAAAGGCAGTGGTTCTGTATTAGTATCCATGAGCAGTCCGAATGGGGTTTATGCCAGGAGTATTTGCTGGTAAAATATGCTAAGTGCCAATGAAAAGAGGACTTTGTACATTTTGTTAATAAACTGGTTTCTAGGCACTCTTGATTCCTGGTCTCTATTGCAGTTGTTCCTCCTTGACTGTGAATGTCTAAACAACCAGGAAGAAGAAACATAGCTGTACTTTAATGAAATAATACTGATAAAAATACCTAAAATAGTTTAGCTCTAGATGTTAGATACAATTTTAGACTAAAAAATACCCATTTGGCAGCATAAATAATCATTTCTTTTCAACTAGAAACCATGATTACCACACACATTCACCACTGAAGAGTGGGCAGCTAGAGGTACATACCTGTACAAAACTGTTCTTCACAACCATCAGGATGACAGCTCTTTGTCAATTTGCCAAGCTGAGTTGTGACTTCCTTCCCATTTGCTTTACAACACAAGGTACATGCTACCGTCACCTTGGCAAGATACTTACCCTTTTGGGTTTTGCCTCTTGGAGGTAGAACGTCAGCAACATTAGGAGAGAGAAGTATCACTGTAATTGTGAATTACTGTTTGTTGAATCCTAGTTCATGACTTTTGATCTGGATGTTGTTTCATTTAGGATGAGATGGTGGTAACAGACTGGTGTATCTCTTGTGCAACACTATATACAAAGAGCGAGCAAAGTCCCACTTGTACTGAGCAAGAATTAGATGGTAGAAGATATTTCCAACGCCTTTTCCACCTAACAATCACTGCTAGGACGCCATCTTTTCCTCCAGGTAGCCAAGAACTATGCATTATGTTCTTTTTTATCACACGTACTCAAATTTCCGTTAACATGCAGAAGACAGTTCATAATCAGTCTGCACATGACTGGTCAGAATATGGTACTCCCTTTATTTCAGCTACCAAAAGAGCTCAATTTCTTTTACACTTATCTTAAATAAATCAGTTAACCATCCCAACAGAGCATAATGTGGTCACTAGCACACTTAAATGGGAGCCACCTAATTTCTTTTATGTGAGTGGTTTGCTATTGTCACGTGTTAAGTAAAGCTGACTGAACTTACAGTATTGCATTTCATCCCTCAGTTTAAAGTAAGGAACTAAGTCTTCTGTTTTCAACTTCAAAAACAAAAGGAGATCATTTTCGTCTTTGGTATTTTAATAGAATTTTCATTTTCATGCTATTTTTTCTCCAACCCACATAGTATACTTCACAAAAAGATTCATTGCACATTACATTGAAGATCATTTTCATTACAATTTACAAATTGTCCAGAAAGTACCAAAGCTATTAAATGTCACTCCAGCAGTTTAATACCTACCTTTTCTCTCACACTCTCACACATATGTCCTAAAATACCCTACAAACGGTAAAAATTAAAATTAGAATACAAGCCAGTTCTTGCATTCCAGACCTCTTCAGCACATCCATAATGAGTTTAATTGTTTGGACCAAAACAGCTAAACTTTGAGAGGAATGTTTAAACCTCCAACACAGTAATACATGCTCAAAAAGGTTTACCAAAAAATCCCAGAACCAGATAATAACACTAAGTGACGCTACTGATATTCTCATATACTCTTTTGGAACAATAGTTTCTTATAAGGAAGGACTAGTCTGTTTCCCATTGCAGCAAGGACTCCCTGTTAGAGTTTCTTTAAGGACACAAATTTACTAAACACAAAATTCAGAAGAAAAACCCCTCAATATAGTCTATGCAAACCATCTAAGGCGCGTGATTCACAGATAACTAGCAGACACCCACCTCTTTCTTCACCTTCTTTCCCAGGAGAGGAAGGCCCTAGTAATATCCCAGACTTGTCTGATAAGTGTTTGGCCTCTGCCCCAGTCCTTCTGGATTTTAAAGGGATAGGCTATTCAGCTGCAGTTTTCCTCTTATTTTTAATAAGGAAGCATATGTAAAAAAACAACACAGTTAATATAAAATTAAGGTTATATTGTTAGTCACTGAAAGAAATTATAAAGTGAAAAGTGCAAGTCTAATGCTGCCACTTTGAGTGTATGTATTGTAACATGGCCAAAACACTCTTGACTTTAAAACACGCATTTTCAGATATTAATAAACAAACCTGCATTGCTTCTGAGAAGTGGCAGGATCATCAAAGGAGTGACAAATACATTCAATTTCTCCCAGCACTATTAACAGAATATATGTCTAAATTACAGCTGTGCCTCTTAAGGTTAAGTCTACCATTCTTTATAATATTATGCAAATGCTGATCGTGACTCGGTGGCTGCTGTTGCCATTTTAGATCTATTAATTTGTAGCATCTAAGGGTGCCATTCATGGACAAGGAGCCCACCATGCCAGGCAATGAAGTAGCGTGGGACAGCCCAGCTCCTGACCCAACAGAGGAGGTTGTGCACACAGTCAGGAGGCGTCAGTGAGACAGTATTTGCCAGCACAAAATGAAGCCTAACCCTTGTCAAATTTCTTGTGAGGAAGAGGAGAATTTTGAAGGTGCGTTAGTTTTGCAGCTGTATGCAGGC